AAAGATAGCAACAGCAATATTAAACAAAATCCCACGATCCTCTCTGTTCACATATCCGAAAAAAATTTAAGAGAAAACCCTATTAAAGGCACACCAGACTTATACATTCAACTTTACAGTGGATGTTGGGATTGTTATCCGGAAAAACGTCCGAAATTAAAAGAAATTTTAGAAGTACTTAAAACCCTTTCAGAAAAATCTAGTAAGCATTTTAAACATATTTATGTCAGAGATAGAAAATTTTTAACCGAGTAAACTTGTATTTTATTTAGATAATAAAGATGAAACAATCAGTCAAGACGATGAAAATGAAACAATCAGTCAAGACGATGAAAATGAAACACAAGAAATACAAGTTTCAATAAAACTCATTTATGAACTATGGAATTTCTATATGCCAAACACGGGACTTTCAAGGGTATTTCAACCTCGAATAAGCAATTTCGATATTGGATATATTTATACGGGGAATCTGTGGACAATGCATTGGGACAATGCAAATTCATGTGTCATTATTAAAATCCCAAAGAAGACTCGGAAAAATTTTGATAAAATTTTCCAAAATTTGGCACCTAATCCAAATTTTTTCCAAATTTTTGATAAATTTTCAGGCTTCATGCGATCTTGAAGATTATGGACACAAAATTTTTAGACAAAGTCTGGGAGCTTTAGGAATAGTGATGATATCTGTGGGAAGAACTAATTTCTCCTAAGTTCTGTTGAATATCAGAAATCTCATCGCTAATTGGCCGAAAATGATTACGATCATTTTTGTTAATTATTAGATATTGTGTTCATAAAATGCACTACTTATATTTACTTACATATTATATAGAATTTTTATAGAATCACACACTCTTATAATAACAATTCAGTGTCGTTATTTGGACTACGTCATGTTTTTGAGCGGATTTGGACATAGTCAAAATGTTATATACCCAATTAAAAGTTAGTTACTATATTCAATATTTTTTTTAATTAGTCCAAATTACAACACTGGAATCGGGTCCATAAAAACTTTATTAAAAAATGTTCTTATATAGAGAATGTGACTATATAGAAATTTATTTTGTATATTTAACAACCATATAGAAATTTATTTTTATACGTTTAAAACTAACTATATAGAAATTGTATATATATATATATATTAATAGTAATTGGTTCAAAAACTAAATTATTTATGTACATATTGCAAATGATAATTAAGAAATGGAAGGTATTGGTTGACGTGGTAATTCTTAGTGATATATAGGTTGAGTCGTCGTTCCATTGAGTTGGTATTCGACAAGTTACAGTTACAAAATCCATTATGCTGTAAATAAGTTATGATAAACTTTTTTCAAAACTTCCCTATGCATATATTCGTTCAGAAATTTTAGCGTTCGAGAACTCACTTAATCCAAATTAAATTCTTTATATCCATTTCTTAAAAACTATTTATTGAAAAATTGCTAAGGTAATCTATAATATATAACTTCGTTAAATATGCAAAGTTATAGATCAATAACTTATTATTTAAGGGCCACTAAAGAAATAAGGTATGATTTTAAAGTTTATAAATTTATCGGGATTGACTCCTGTAAAAAACTAGAGACATGTAACCAATAAGGTTATGTCAAGAAAATCCCGGGCTGAAGATCACCCGATCTGATTCCGGAGCCTAAACATTCAATTTCTTTAAACTTTTATCGAAGATTTCTCAATATCTATTTGGATCGTTTTCTAGGAAAACCACAGATTGAAGGGTAGTTTAATTTTGAGAAAAATGCGATTAAATTTTGTGCTACTTAAAATTTAATCGCATTTTTCTCAAAATTAAAACTACC